TGTAGGGAAGCTCCCATCCAAATGCAGGTTCATTAAGTTACAGTGACCATCTACAAGATTTTGCTGTAACGGAAAGATGATTTACTAGTAAAAATTGATTCCATTTAAGAAGAGGTACCTGGCTTCCTCGATAGCCTCTTGCTCCCTGAAATGAAAAAAACCCACATTATAGTTGAACTACACCAGTTCAACTCAATTCAATTCAATTCCATTCAGTTCATTAAGGATACTGGGCTAAATGCCATGCTCCCAAAACCGACAGAACACACATATGACTGTGATATAAATAAGTTTGAACAATGTAACTGAAGTACAAATATTATACTAAAAATAGAGCCCACCAACATAAAACATTGTTAATATAAATATAGTAGTAAATCAAGACATGACTCTACAATATTGTTGTACATAGATCCCCAATTGAGACAATAAAATCAACTGTAATGTTAAAATACATCAGTAATAAAAGGATATTTAACTCTAATCGCCTCAGCCTTATGAGCAAAAATTGCAAGACGGTTTACTAAATTTGGATCCGTTTGCTCTGGAAGCCAGATTAATTTCTCTCTATTTGAAAAACGTATCAATTTTAACTGCACCACAGAGTAAATGATGTACTCCCCAGAGCTGACCAACCATCAGGAAAATCTTGTTGCTGTCACAACAGGCAGGTGCGAAATACAATCAATGTGTGTAGAATAAACCAGAAAGCTCCTTGGAACCTCAAGGAAAAACTGATCCCTTCAAAATGCAGCTGACACTTCAGTTCCTGTTACAGCTTCAATAACCTGAAGGTTCATTGAAAGACCAGCTGCTCAAGTGACTCCTCAGCCACTGTAGTAGTGCTCTTGTTCTAGCAGTAACCAGCTAAGACTAGATAGTTGTTCAGTGCTCTGTAGGGTCTCCTTGGTATTCTAAAAACTAGATACAGCTGTCCCAATATGCTTAGAAAGCAAAATAAATTTATGTAGGGGCCGATTTGGTATATGGAAAAGAACAAACGAAATAAAAAAAGATAAGGAATGCTTTCAAGTAACACACTTGCCTTCAGACCTCTAACACCTGGGCATCCTTTGTCTCCGTGAGTTCCGTTGATACCCCTAGGACCTCTTTCTCCCTAAGAAGCAAAAGGTACTGTTAAAATTTCCTATATTATTTAAAAGAAACCAAACTATGTTACTTGATATTTGTAAACCTACAATTAAAGCAAGCTGGAGTTCTTTAAACATCACCATTTTCTGCACTAGAAACTTGACCAATTGCCTATTGAAAAATCAATGGGAATCTTCATCTTGCCATCACTGGATTTGGATTGTATCCTACAACATTTTGAATTTCATTCCAAGTATCTTCTTATTAACATTTTACTCTGTATCCTGGTTCTATGCACTCATAAAACATTATGCTTTGTCCCCAGGTAAACATTTCTAAGTCTAAAATTTCAATATTTGATAGTCTAGGGTTTGGGATTCTTTGCTGCTTTATTTTTTAAACTTGCACTGAATATTTCTTTCCTTTCATAAGGGGACAGCCTGTCAGCAAAGGATTATATTTATATGTTACAAGTGTCTAGACTCCAGAGTTAATGTATAAACCAACAGTTGAAGAGTAAGATGTGTAGTAACATTTCATCTCTGAAAAAAAAACAGAAGACAACCTAGAAACCTTTGGGAAGCTGGCCTTGTATGTAAGAACTATAACTCAGAAGATCAGAGTTCTGTCCCCATCTCTAAAACAGCCTCCCTGTGATATCAGGAAAATCATTTTGCAGTACATTTCCAAAGTAGTTCAAATATACAATAAAGCTTGCAGACATTCACTATCTGTTTACAAGCAATGATATATAATTTCTGAAGCTTAGACATAGGCAGACTGAAAATGTAATCCCTGCACATGCTATTGTCACCCAATGAAAATTTGAAAATTCCAGCTATGTTCACTTGATTCCTGAGGTGAATATAGAGAACTTATTAGGCTTATCATCAGGTGCGAGCACACAACACGGTTACTATAAAGTAATTTATCTCAGATTTCACTCTGTAGTAAGGAGCAGACAAAAGACTAACTCTCCAAAGCTAGCTGCTTTCAGAGGTTCCAGGGCATTAGGTGACAGATGATCCAGTTTGCATTGAGTAAAATGTTATCCCTAGATGTATCTGACCAAGGAAGAGGACATATGACTGCTACAGCAGGGTAACTTATACTGACATAGAATTGCTCCTCATTTTCTGTGAAGTAACTTTATCCCAGAGCAGTATGACTTGCACTGGTGTAAGCTTGCACATCATGTTTCTGCTCAGCTCTTACTTCAGAGTAAAGACAATTTATCTCAAAGTAAACATGTCATGTGTCTACACCCTTAGATTTCTGGTGCATCCTGGTACTCAAGGGACCTTGAGGTGATGGAATATGTTCCCTGGAATGGCCTCAGCTTCCCCTCCTTTATTCCCTGCTCCTTTTGGGATGGCTGGTATGGTGGCTATCTTGGCTGACATCTCAGTTTGTAACAGGAACTGCCAGAATTAATGGCATACATATGAACTAAAGAGCCAGACTTTTGAGCTGAGACCAAGAAGAGACATGCATAATCTTGTACACTGTAAATAAGAGGGAAAGGAACAAATACTGTCCAGGGGGTCATGATGTCACCTTTGCAGTGCTAGGAAAGAGAATTCCCTACATATATGAGAAATGCATTAGTACATGCCCTTTGCACTGGGGATCTGATGGGGAAGGCAACTTTTTCATCAGCCCTACTTCTGGTTGCTTTTGGCCACACAAAGTCTTGGCTAGAATCAGGCCTGGGCAATGTGTAGGTGAGTTGGTTATAACTGTTCTGGAACAATGCTTCAGTATGATTCAGCCCTTAGAGAGTATATACCAAGGGTGTAAGTTAAAGAAGCCCTTAGACAGCTTCCACCAGTTATAAAACTGGGCTGACAATGAAACAGGAATTTTGGCTCTCCCTCCCTGTAGCTCCTGAGTAGAGTTTGTGGAGTGATCATAAAGTCCTGGTCCTCCATACTCACTGGAAAAGACTAGAAGGCTATACTAGGGGAACTGTAATAAAAGGTCAGATAGCCCCTGCAGCAGGTCAGGTCAGAGCCTACACAATGGTTCAAGTTTCCTCCCTCCCTCACACTACATATTTCAGCTACAAGAGAAAACTGAGTCCATGTATCTTCAGCCACACACTGTTTAGGTGCACTGTAGAGTACCACACATGGACAAGTGAAAATACAGCTGTTTATTTAACATCTCCTTAAGATGAAGGAACAGCATTTACTTACAATTCCACCTTCCTCACCAGGATGTCCAGGGGATCCCCTGAAACCTGGAATTCCCTAAATGGAAGTGAAGAAAACAAAAGAACCTCGTTCAGATTTACTGTTCATCCAGAGGGCTCATTTGCATTTGACTTCAGTAAAGTTGCTACATCTTTCTTTGCCAAAAACACCTTTCAAACCAGAGTTAGAGTGGGGAAGAGTAATGTGGGGAGGGAGCAGTAACTGGTAATTACACAACCAGCACTGACAGTCCTGCTTGTGAAGTATTACTTAGAATAGTGCTTAAATTGACTTTGGGGAGGCATCCCACTGATTATCAGAGATGAATGGTTGGTTTGGTCTTAATTAAACATTTTTATTGATGAACTGGAATAGAAAACAAGACACATCTAACAAAATTCACAAATGATATAAAGTCTTAAGGCATTAAAGATAAAATGATTTAAAAGTGTTACTCTTTGATTACTTGCATTTGGGGTTAATTTAAAACCTGAAAAGCAGATATGCAGAAATAGATGTAAAAGTGGCAATAGACTATAAATGAAACAATGTTCAATACAATACAGAAGCAGCAAATAGCTTACACCAGAGGTTTTCAACTTCTTTTAATAGGCGTACCCGTGGCAGCCAGAGGGGGTGTTGGGGGGTGGTGCATACCCAGACATGGAGCAGCAGCAGCGCAGGGTGGTGGCAGCGGCTGCCATGTGCTAGCTCTCCTGACCTGTGCAGCCTGCAGAGGAGATCCACTGCCCTCACCCCGACCCGGCCCTGCTCCTGGGAGGTGGTGGAGTGGGGTGATGGGTGGTGGCGCTCCGTCCCCGCATACCTGCTGCGACCTTCCCAAGTACCCCCAGGAGTATGTGTACCCCCCAGTTGACAACCCCTGGCTTACACAGTTCTGGGCTGCATATACTGAGGCATCATGTGACAAGGACAGGGTGTTAACATCCTTTCTGGATAGGGACAGAGGGCATTTGTACACATGCTCGCACCCCAGTGCCTGGTGGTTTCAAAAGCGCCTGGCACTGCATCTCATGTAATTGTATAAGTGGTGAAATGCACATCGGTGCTGAGAAAATGGCAGTGACACACTTTTGAACTAAAACACCTCGAAGGTGTTTTAGTTCAAAAGCACACTGCCACCATTTTCTATGCACCAACACACATTTTGCCATTTATACAACTGCACATGACACAGAACAGTGTGCCTCAGCTCACATGTGGAGCAGACTCAATTCATCAAGTCAGCCCTGTCCCACTGGATCCCCAGCATATCACGGGATGAAAAGGTATACGTATAAATGCCCAGAAGTTGCACATAAACCAATTTAAGTGATCAGAAACTGGTTTAAACATTATATACATTACCTGTAACAAAACAGAAGTTCGGTGCACATAAACCAGTTTCAAAATGGCTGAAACTGGTTCAAGATAAACCTGGTTGAATGTAATATCAGATTTAACTGATTTAGGTCAAACCGGTTTATGAAACTTCTGTCCCAGACCCCTTCCTGGTTCAAGTTAAATCACAGTCCCCCAGCATCCCAGGATGGTTTACAGCCCCGGGCTGGGCTGGGCTGTCTGCTCCAGAGATTAGGGTTGGCCCTGCTCCTCTGCTCTCTAGCTAGGGCAGTGAGGGATGTCTGACAAGGTGGTGGGGGTGAGAAACCTTGCTGGGGACCACAGCTAGGTCCACCAGGGTGAGGGAGGGAAAGGAGGCAGCCCCTGCCAGACTTTTCCCTACTGAAGTGGAAGGGATGGGAGCCATGGGCAGCCATGCTCAGGCAGAGGAGAGGAGAGGGAGTGGGGTTTAAACTCCCTTTCCCACTGGCATGAGACCTGAGCTGGGGTCTGCTTGGCAGGGGGCCAGCAGGAGACCAGCAGATTCCATCCCTTTCCACCTTTGACAGAGAAACTGAGGCAAGCAGTTGATGTGGGGAGGGGGGAGGGACATAATTCCCCTTAGCTCCCCCAGGCCATGGAGAAGAGGCTGGGGAACTGGGGCTGGAGGGACTGGTCCCCTGCTGTCTGCAGAACCAGACAGAGGTGGGAGATGTTGACAAAGACCTGGCATAATCATCACATGTATGTGCTAGAGACGGAGCTAAGGGAACAGGAGAGGGTCCCAAACTGCTTGGGCTGGTGTGACCAAAGAAAGCAGAGAACTACATTTACATTATAGAGCAGAACCTGTAAAAGGTGGGAGACTGGACTACCTAAATAGACAAAAAAGACACTGAATACATGAGAGTCCTGCCAAAGGTACTATAGTTGACAAGCATACTAATGTCAAGGCACCCAAAGGGGAGAAGGAAGTGCAAGTGCACCTGTAAAAACCGAAGTAGAGATGGAGCCTTGGGATCTCCACTCCAGCACCTAAGACGACCTGCTGATTCCCCAAGAAGGACTTTCTGAATAGTTGGCTGTAAGGAGCCACTCTGCTCTCAGGATTACATAAGACATATGCAAGTCCTTCTCTTGTCTTTTTGGTTTATTACATTCCATTTTAAGTTAGACTAAGCTGTGTGTGCTCTCACTGTGGTTTACTGGGCTGTATCTTAGCTTAGGCAAAGATTATATGTGGTTTGTTGTTGTGCTTGAGGTTGCAAATTGCTGTGTTCAATACATGCTCACTTTAGAGACAGTACTATTCTTGTTCAAGCTTTTATGAATTCAATACCCCTACCTTTTCCCCCCACCTCCTCCTTTACCTGGCAAGGGCTGCCTTCCTCCTGCTTCATGCAGGAGGTGGCCAGAAGCCTGGCAGGCACAGCCCCCCCACCCAGGCAGACCCAGGCTGGGGTTCCGTCATGGGTGTCTGGTGCCTCTTGAGTCAGGGGAGGCACCAGTCAGTGACCAGGGCGGGGGGGTCCCTCGGCGGCCAATGTCACTGACCCCGGGGGCGGGGGGGGCGCCAGCGGCCAATCTCACTCAGCATAAAAGCGGCTGCACTGCTTCCAGAGCCCGTGGCCACTTCCCAAAGTGGCACGGCCACTTTTGCTGGCTGCACTGCTCCTCACCCAGTGCTCCCAGGGGGGGGAACTGGTGCTCCTGCCTGCCAGCTAAACAGGAAGCACGACCTGACAGGGGGAGCACACATCACCCCTGGATCCCATGTGGGCCAGGGAGGGGATTTAAACCTCCAGCCTCCAGCATAATAGCCCCAGGCTTGGGCCAGGCCATGACCCCTCTGCTCAATCATGGAGGGGAAAAAGCCTTGGAGCTTCAGTCCCTTTGGCAGTGGCTAGCAAGTGTGCTGTAGTGCCCCCAGCTTCTGGCCTGAGCCACTACAAGCATGTGGCTGCATTCCCTGAATCAAAAGTGAATGTCTGTTCATTTGCTTCTCAGTTTAATCTCTGCAGCTTAGACTAACCTGAACAGACTGAATCAATTCAGCCTTGGGCTTTTTGACTGTCTGTACTTGGCCTCTATGTTCAGCCCTGATGTGACTGTATCTTTCATATTCTAGTGCGATGCCAAGACAAAGCTAAAATACTGATAAAAAGTAGGGGTTTATAAAAGAACAGAAATAATATGATCAAGGAAATGAATAAACTATTTTACAAAGAAATGTTAGAAGAGAATACCTTGCATTAGAGGTGACCAATAGGGAAATAAAACAGTGAAGAGAGATTTGAAGAAAATAAACACCAAAGACAGAAAAATTATTTAGGATGGTAGAGGGCTGTAACAAGACATAATGGAGTGAAATAACTAGAGAAACATTTTAGCCTGAATATTAGGAAAAATCCCAAATAGTGAGCTCTTTTAGTTCATGAGACAATCAGACAAAAGAAGTGGTGGTAACTGCAATATTTGGGAAACTTACAGTGGCTGTCAATTTTAATTTCTCACACAAGAAATGCTATGCTAAGTAAGAAATCAGAGTGCTCAGAAAGGGTGCAGGACCAATTCGTGGCACACCTGCCAAAACCACCCACACTTGAGCACTCAGTCTCCTGTGGACTTGAGAGTGGATGTGGGAGACAATCCTGCAGCAGCTTCACTGGCAAACTTCTGGCACTGAAGCATATCCACTGACTTGGATAGGTAAATCCTGCATAGGGTATGTTTAGCTCCGTCTCCCCAAGACTTGCCATTGATTTAATAGAGATAAGCCCTAAACTGTAAAAATCAATGCTCATAGTCATATGAGCAATCAAAAAAGCAGTTCAGGGATGAAAAATCTGGGACCTGATCTCTCTGTACCTCAATTCATCTACGTGGAAATTCATTACAACAGCAATGATGTGAGGGTTACCACACAATACTTGTGAATTAATAGCATGTGCTTCAGATGTATGGTACTACACAAGTTCTAACTATTATTATTAAATTGCATAGTAAATAAATACAATGGCAATAAATACAATAAAATGGCTGCTTTTTTTTAAGGCAACAGCATTTGCCTAAGATGTATGGCATGCTCCACAGAGGAAAAGCCAAACTGGCAAAGCTCCCAAAAGCATTTGCACTGGGGACAAATGTAATCCAGCAGCATGAGGAAAACAGATGTTTTCTTTTAAAAATGAAAAAGCAGAAAATCCTTGGGCAGCTGTTAAAGAAAGCTCTTCTGGAAGATTGTGCTGCCATGTGTGACAGATTTCGGGTAGGAATGCAGATTTGGGATCAGTCTATCAAGACCCACATGCAACACAAGTGACAAGATGGTGGAAGTACCTTGAAGGAAGGGTATGAATGTTCACACTTAACACAACAGTAGTAAAACCTCCCATTAGCAATTACCCATACAGATCTTGGTTAAGACAGGTTGATTTTTTTCAAACCTGTCCTATGAACATATTGCTAATTGGTCTAAGGAGACTGCTCAGTGACCACTAGCATTAGAGGTCCGAAATGCTTCCTGTTTTACTGTGAACTATACTGGTCAATATTTTTCATAACAATTATACTAAGATAAAAGAGAAAAACGATTGACCTTTTGTTTCTTCTTGCAATGGCAAGATCCACAAGTATTCTATGTAAGCAGCTGTTGAACTACTATTAAAAAGTCTCACAAACCAAAGCCTCTCTTAGCAGTATACAGTTAAGTACTCTTACCTTCTTTCCAGGATTTCCATAGATACCATGAAAACCAATTTCTCCATAACATTTACAAGCAACATGACAGCACTTTCTTTCAGCAACATTTTCCTGCAAAAACAATTAGCAATATTATAGTTAATCTAACAGACTGTAAAAACATGATGCGTTTTCTTCATTGTTTATTTCACAAAGAAACTTACGAGTTCTCTTTGCAAGAGTCCTGGATGGTCTGAAAATCTAATGCTCAGGGGGTGCTTATTGCCAAGTCCTCTGCCAAATTCTATTTCCTGTAGGTCGCTCAGATTTGGCATGTTGTCCAAGCCAACCATTAGAAGTGCATCAAGGCCTTATAAAAGCAATAAATGTTAAAACATAACATGTTATTTGTTTTAACAGATTAACTACACTGACTGCAAAAAATCATTTACTGAGGTGTCACTTGATAGATTTCATGTTCTTATCCCTAAGTGATTGGTCACTTTCATCTTCTGAAGTCAGCAGCTGTACCTTAGGGATGAACTTGCCCCAGTGATTTTCTCTCTTTTTTTTCTTATTCCCCTCACCATCATATGCATTAAACTCCCACATGTTTAAAATTGGCCACAGGACACTTTATCTATACCTCATTAGACAAGGTTTAGATTAAGTGCCCTGTGGCCATTTTAAAATGTGCAGAGGCTTAATACATATGATGCTGCAGCAACACTGGAGCATTCTAATTAGCCAAGGTGCAACTGCTCCAAACTGGAGCTAGCACTAATGCTGATCAACATTTGAGTAGCTCAAAGTTTAACACGTAACAAGGCCCACAGATGACTGCATTGAGAATACAGATAGTGGTGGAAATTCCTTTATGATCACATTGGTGAAAGGAATAGGAATCATTCGGTGAGTGGACACCCTATAACTGGGGAGAGAGACATTGCTCATGCCAATAATTTTTAAGCAATGCCAGAACTATGCAGATCAGTCTGCATACACACATCTGTAGTAGGAAAGGAATTTATCGCACCTTTGTAGAATATAGTACTGCACTGTCTGTGGCATACCATACCTTTGAGGAGAAGGGAATCTGCTGCTATTCTGAGTATTTCTACAGGATCATCCAGCCCATCTGTAAACACTAAAAGAACCTGTAAAAGAAAACGTTAACTTACCAAAGTATTAAAGAGAAAATATTGTAGCTATAGTTTAGTTAAAGATTGTAGTTTAATAATAAAAGCTGTTTGTGGCTAGGGACAGAAGTTGCACATAAACCAGTTTTAGTGATCAGAAACCAGTTCAGATCTCTACCACAACAGAAGTTCAGTACACTTAAACAACTTTCAAAATGGCCAAAACCAGTTTAAGATAAACCTGGTTGGATGTAGTATCAGACTTAACTGATTGAGGTCAAACCAGTTTATGGAACTTCTACCCTGGACCCCTCCCTGGTTCAAGTTAACTCACAGTCCCCCAGCATCCCAGGATGCTTTGCAGCCCTGGGCTGTGCTGTCTGCTCCAGCAGAGCAGGGGTGGCCCTGCCCCTCTGCTCCCTAGCTGGAGCACTATCATTGCTCCAGCTAGCTAAGGAGTGGGGATGGGGAAACCTGGGTCCGGACCCCAGCTTGGCAGGGGGCGTTGCATGGCAAGGCGCGTAGAGAGGAAGTAGCCCCTGACAGGCTTTTCCACACTACCTGCTCAAGCAGAGAGCCGGGGCATGGCCAGGCCCCAGCCCAAGCTGACAGAATGAGGCAGGGGAGGGGATAAGGTGAGGGAGGTTTAAACCTCCTCCCTGGCCTGAATAGCATCCTCTCCAGGTGGGGGAGGTTAAACCCCACTACCCCACACCTCAGTGTACCAGACTGGGCCGGGACCTGGCTACACCCCTTGCTCTCTGCTCAAGCAGAGAACAGGTAAAAGCCTGTTGGGGGCTGCCCATGAGACAGACCCTGGCTAGGGTCCAGTGAGGGCCAAGGAGGGGGTTTAAGCCCCCCTCTCCCCCCTCCATTTCAGCATGCCAGTCCAGGTTGGGACCTGGCCATGCACCACCCCCTGCTCAAGCGGGGAGCAAGGGAAAAGCGTTGCAGGGCCCTGCCCCCCACACAGGCAGACCCCAGCTGGGATCAGTGCAAAACAGAGTTGGGGTAACCCCACCCCACATCATGCAGTGGGCCAGGCATGGCCTGGCCATGCCCCACTCCTCTCAGCTTGACCAGGGAGGGGGAAAAAGCCTTGGAGGGCTTCTCTCCCAGCTTCCCTCCCTTCCCTTCGGCGGTGGCCAGCAGGATGGAAGGTATGCTCCAGCACCTCCCAGCTTATGGCCTGAGCCACTGAAGGCATGTGGCTGCATTTCCAAATGACAAGTGAATTTCTGTTCACTTCAACCTAGACAGTTTAGACTGACCTATAAATATTGAATCAATTCAGCCTCCAGCTTTCTGACTGTCTGTACTCAGCCTTTAAGTGTCATTTTAAAAGACTTGTTGTGATTACTAGGCCAGAAATCATCTGTACTTTGACAGCAGTTCTATTTGAAAGAATCTGGCTCACAGACTGCCACCAGAGCTGTCCCTAGGGGTGTGTGGGGCCTGGGGCATATCAGCCCATGTGGGGCGCAGGAGGGGGATGGCGAGTGGCTGGAGCCAGTGGAGCAGAGTGGCGGGGTGGCAGAGCTGGTGGCATATGACGGCCGCAGTGGGGCCTACGCAACACTGACCACGGGTCCCCAAAGCATGGAGCCCGGGGTAGTCGCCCTGATTCCCCTCCCCACAGGAACAGCCCTGACTGTAACTACCATTGCTACAACCAGCTGTAGATTTCATGTATGTATCTAACTATTTTCTAGGCACAGGGACAATTCTGTTGTTATTCAAGCTTAGAAGAAACTTCACTGAAGGCAACAGAGGTCTCCAAATGTAAATGAAGAGGAATGGACAACAGAAAGTGTTTCTTTTCTTTTGGTAATAAGAAACCAGTAATGTGGACACCCACGTTTCCACTAATGCGATCTGACTTTATACTGGTGTAAACAAAAGGAACAGACACACAACATGCAGCCCTACACCAGTGTAAGTTACTTTTCTTCAGTTTCCCATGAAAAAAAATACACAACGAAGTATTTTTCCCATGAAAAATACTACACAACAGTATAAGTTAGACCAGTACATATGTGTTTGAGTCAGTTTCAACTGATTGTGCCCTGGTAGCAGTTAGCTCAAGCTATTTCCTGCTCCCCAACCAACCAGAAGTGAAGCACTGTGGTTAACAGTCCACAGTCCACTACTCTAGATAAACCAGTCACTGGTTTGCTCTGGCTTCTAGAGTAATTTACATTAGCATAACAATAAATGCCAATTATGCTGGTGTAACGCGATGTGTCTCTGCACTGCAGAACTGAAAACTGTCTAACTAATCAGCTATTAGCCCTGGGCTCGGTTGTCTGGTCTCCTTTAGCCCACTTTACACTGTTCAGGCAGCAGATAGCAGATGGATCCAACCATCTCTGGACTGCAGGGAATTCCCTTTGCAGAAAGGAACTCCCCACTGGTGCATGGATGACAGAAGCAGCTGGGCGCAGGTCCTGTACCAACCATCCCATGCCCCCAGCAGGGGAAGTGCAGGGCAGAGTTAGGGACAGGGTATAGTAGACAAAAACTCCATTACAAGTGTCCTCCCCCCACATAAATTGGAGCAGGCTTCCCAGCTGTTCAGAGAGATCAGATGCAATGAACATATGCTGTTAGTGTGCAAGTGTATCACAAGGTGTTAGAAAGAGTACAGTAGGACTCTTCAGCTCAGTGCTTTCCATTCTACACAGTTATAACTTGTTTTGTTTCCTCAAGTGTTTACAGAGGTATTAAGCAAGATTCTCATTGAAATAAAGCTGGGTCTTGTTTGACTAAGGATGTTGGGACAGGTCCTGCCCATTTGCTGTAAGTTGGAAAAAAATTATAAACAAGAATAAATCATATCTAGCTGATGAATGCTATGGAATAAACATGTTGCTGTTCAGTGACCTACAAGAAATGAGTTTGTGATCTCAAGCCTGTTTACGTCTTGACCACAAGCACCAGCATAAAGGGCAGTAGCTGGCATCCTTCTGACCATCGCTGCAGCACAGCCATGGATTAAGTGGGCATGCAGTGATCACCCTTCCAGTTCCTAGAAGGAATGGGGCTAGGGTAGTCAGGCAAGTGTGCATTGTACTTGTAGAATCCTTATTTCTGATTTCTGAAGGTGTATGAACAGGGAAAACCCCAGTTTAGTTTCCACAAAGAGTTAAAAGACTTGACAGCTGGTGAGAGAATGTACCTGGAAATTGAACAAATTTGTTCTAGAAAACAAACCGCAATAAGGAACCTAAGGATTTTCATGATGCACAGGCTAGAGCTAGAGAAGAATTACAGTGGAGAAAAACTCTACTGCATCTTAAACCCATTTGTACATCATCTCTTCCGGAGAAGAACCATAAGTTAAAAACTTCTGAGAAGAAAGGTAAGACGAATAAGGTTGGGAATGTGCTCCTTCTACATCTGTGTTGATGAGGAATTGCTGAGCAGATGCTGAAAACAGGATTGATATTGTTCTCTGCAAGCAGGCAAATTTGCATGTTCTGTTCATGTACAGCTGTGAGAAGAGACCTTTTAGCGAGCACTCAAAATTAAGCTAAAATATATTCTAGACTTGCAATAATTTACAAGAAATAAAACAAAATACACACAGAACATATATATGATATCTTATGAGGACCAAAGTGCCCTTCCTGCTCTGGGATTTAATGTGTAAAAAGTATCTTATGTAATTGCACGTGTGTAAATGCTTTCTTCAAACAGTGCAGTGCAATCCAGAAACATTAGGATGTGAAAGAATTTCCATTCAAGTCAATGTAAAGAATCTATTAACTTCTGCAAGGATTGACTCAAAACATTACATCTTTGCCTTCCCTTTGTCTCATTTCAAACTGAGTTATTCACAGTGATCATGTGTAAATATATTTCCATAAACGAATTAATTGCAAAATACCTGCTCTGAGCCATCATTTTTCAGGCTGTGTGATTAGTCATCTATGAAAAAAGTATTATTTATGATCCTGAACCTATAAATAAATTCCAAGATAAATATATCCAGTGTGAACACTTGTGAGCACATGGATTTGCCTACATATTTATCAATACATTCCTCTTCCAGGAGCACTCAGTCAGGTGTAGAAGAGATTTTTTGTTCACCTGTTTTAAGACATCTGAATATTGTGAAAATAAATCCAAGGTTTTAGTTGAATGACCAGTTGTGAATCTTTTTTCTTCTGCTGCTGAATCCACATAGCGCTAAACCCAGCATATTCTGAATAATATAAATTTAGCCAATACTCAATCATACACACACTTCTGTTTACCTTCACATTAGCTGAGGCCACTTCAAAGGAGTCCTCCCAAAGTAACTGTAAGAAGCGTGCATTCAGGTATGTGTCCACAGTGATCTGTGCAGCTAAGAACTTTTGGATTATCTCTTCATTATACTTTTCAAAATTAGAGTCAAATAGGGGTAGGCCAGTTGGCCCAAACACTTGGTACTTGAACCTGATGTTGAGCTGAGACTCAGAAGTGCAGCAGACATTAGTCAAGGACTCCACCTGTTGCAGAAATCTGGGCAGATCAGTTTGCAGTTGCTTTTTCAAGTGCAGTGCAGGTGTAGGTCTCACAGGTCCTGAAACATCAATTCCCACTGAAACATCTATGTTGCAATCTGAGAGGGGGGGCACAAAAGTAAATGATGATCATTGTATCCAAAAAATATTTTATGATCTTGCTTCTAAAAGCACCAAGAACAAATTCAATTTGCTAGATGTCAAATCTGGCATTTTAAATTAAAAGAAATCCTACATTACAATCAGAGAGCCAGTGCACAGCTTCACTGATTCATCAGCTAGGGATCTGGCCCTTGTTACTGTACATAGCACCACACACAGCCACCAAAAATGAATTCATCATCATCACTACGTATGTTGGGCCTTTAACTAACAAATAGCGCACCCTACAGTTGAGCCACAAGGAATTAAAATCTAGAGCTCAAATTACTGAGCAGTTTGCTTAGAGCTGTGAGTTGTGCCATCAGCTCCTATGCACTGTTATTGTCTGTGCTCATTGACAGAATCACATTATGCATTGAAGCAGAAGAATCAAATGCAAGGTGACAGAGAAAGAGGGAAAGGGAATATAGTACGACAGGAATAACATGCAAACTCCTTAGTGGCATAGTTAAAGCAATACAACCCCTCCTATTGTAAGCAATGCTACATTGTATATGTATGTGCGTGTATTCTAGCAGTGTGTGCACGTGCGTTACATACAGAGAGAAGGGTGTGTATTAGGGCTGTGCAAAGCTTCGGTCCCTGATTCAATTTGAAGGAGATTCAGCCCAATTTGGTGGTCAAATCTCCAAATCCGAATAGAATCAGGAGACCCTTTAAATCTCTCTGAATTGAATTGGAACCCTCCAAATCGATTTGGAGAGATTCGGAAAGATTCAGCTATTCGGACACAGACACAGCTTTAAATGTTTCTCTACATACCTCAAGGTACCAGGCGGCTTATGAATGCTGTAATGGTGGGCACATGGAGCATCTGACAGGAGCGCAGGGGAGTCCCCAGCGCATTTGGCAGCAGACCTGGAAGTGGACCGGAAGCACTTCCAGTCCACTTCTGGGTCCGACGGGGAGCACACAGGGTGGCCCCCCGCACCTCAGCCCAGCTCGGCAACTGGTGCCTCCTGGGTCTGGGAGGGCATCCAGGGTCCCCCCTGCAGCTGATCGCCAAGCCAGGGGGACGCGGAGGGGCTCCCCCACACACTCCCCAATGGACCCAAAAGCGGACCGGAACTACTTCTGGTCCACTACCGGGCTCGCCACTGAGCATGCAGGGGCCCCCTATGCTCCTGTCGGATGCTCCATGAGCCCCAGCATTGCAGTGTTCACGAGGCACGCCTGCTACCTCAAAAAACATTTAAAGATGTGTCTATGGCTGAATCACCGATTCTCTGAATCAACATTGAATCTTCACGTTCGGATTTGGCCAAATAGAATCGGGGACACTGATCCGGACCAACTAATCGAATCGCTGTCCCTAATCTGAGCCAAATCCAAATCGAATAGGGCCTGTTTCGCACACTCCTAGTGTGTATGTACGTGCAGAAGTGTAACCCGGTGCTTGAGTACCCTAGGTAGCAGTTATACAGGGCAATGTCTATGGCTGTGCTGCTGTCAGTGGTGGCTGGGCCAGCAATGCAGCTGCTACTATTCATGTGCCCCTCCAAAGTTGTCCCCCTTTGCTACACTACTATATATAAGTAGCTATCATTAAAGCTTGTATATGTGCACAAAGCATAGCACAATGTGCTGCCCTTAATGCTATTAGGCAAGATCCAGTATATAGAAAAACAGATTGGAGAACTGGAAAAGGAAAACCCGGTAAATCATATCATTCCTGTGCTTGCTTTCCCAATAGCTGAAAATATTGAATTGGATGTTTTAAAAATATTGGAATTGGACTGCATGGCTATGTCTATATGCACTTATATTTACTCAGACAGAATGGAATGACTGTTTCTTCTCTTTCCTTTCATGAAAAAGGAAGAAAGACACAAATACAGATATAGTATATGCTACATCAAAAATTCCATTTAGAAGAACACTGCTGCAGTCAAGTGTTTAAAAGTTAGGAAAGGTCAGAATTCACATTGCCTGTGCAACTTTAAATTGCATTATGATACAGACTTTCATGACACGATCACATACTACTATTTCCCCATAACCCCCACCTCATTCATTGTACAGAATAGGTACCTATTTAATAATTCTTAGGATCACCGTTTAGTCTGTGACCACAGGCCTTATTTTCTCTCTGCAATTAATGTTCGTGTGTGTGTGTGTGTGCGCGCGCGCTTTAAAAACATGAATGGATGTATTTTCAGAGCTCCCAGAGGTTTGAGGTAGGTCTGTCTGCTCCATTTTACACATGAGGAACTGAGGCACCAAAGATTAAGGACAAAACCATAACACAGTCACTGCCTTTGCCACTCATAACATGGGCTTAACCCTCTCTCACAATCCTCCATTTTAGTAAATTCACTTCAATATACAGTATAAATATGTAAATGTAATCATGCTTATAAAATAATGCTATCCATGTGCTTCTATATATCGCACATACCTATTTCACTGATATACAAAAAAAACCCGCTTACGCACTGAGAGCCATATTCACCTATGGAGTAATCTATGGACTTGCCTATGGACACCAGGAATCAAAAAAAAAAAATCATTACCCACGTTCTGAAAAGATGCATGTGTGAAAGTGCTAATCAGCTGTTTGAACATGCAGGTACTCTTTTGTATGTAAAATGTTTGCTTTGCTTTTTTTTTTTTTTTTTTTTTTTTTAATTTATCCATCTATACCTCTGGATATAGATGGATAGATTATCCCCTCACTCTACTGCAAGTGCCTTCTTATCTGCACATCCCAGTATTTTCCCAGAATAATTCAGTGTGTTTACATAAATGTTTTCAAAAGAATGAAAATGTGAGGTTTTAATCAATTTAACTGTACGAAAAATAGTTGGAACAAAAGCTCAAGTAATATAGAACACGATGGATCACAAGAAATTAACTTGCCAGGGCTACTACTGTGCAAAACTCTCCGGGGCCATTTCACTGGGGTATTTACAAAACAGAGGGATCAAAACAGATATTCCCTGCCACCAAGAAAACTGGCATTTTATAAGGAGTTTATGTGGTTCCTCCTACTAAGAAGTCCCTTGCTGTCTAATGAATTCACACCAGGAGGAGTTGTGACATTTACTTTTCTCTAGTAACCTCTGACACAGCTGTTATTGGCATGGGTGGTTTTTATTACAGCACTGACCTGTTACATATCTATGATGGGATTTTCAAGCCTACTGAAACAGTGTGCCAAAACCCCACTGAAATTAGACCACTCTGAAAATCCTAGCCCTAGAAAACAGTGTTTAAGTGGCTTGGCTTGATTATTTTTTTCAGGGACATATCTATTAAGGGACAAATCCTGGCCCCTCTGTCAATAGCACTTAATACAATCGTTCCTGAAAAACAAGAAAAACCCCTTCAGCTACATTTTGTTCCACGTTCCTCCTTGTTATGGGGGGATCTGTTACAATTAGGATCTATAGACACCCCAGCCTCCCTCTCCATTACCTTCACCCATATACAGCCATCTTGGACCAAGGCTCATGGAGCTCATGTAGAGAACAGGTTTTATTACTAGGCAACAACGATCCTTACATTGCAACCTCTTGTAAAACACCTACCAATTTTGTGTTCAGGACCCTGTGAAACCTACAGGCTTTCTGTGAAAGAGCAGGACTTGCCTGTACCTGAAGATAGCATCATGTTTCACAAGTAAGCACTTAGGGATTAGTCCTAATTATCTGTTCACTCAAGGCTCCAAAGGGGAAAAAGTTTTAAACAAATCAGCCTAGTATACAGGAAGCAACATAATTGTCAGGGGGAAGATATGATGTAAGGGCCAGATTCCAGCCTCTTCCCAAGGGGAGAGAAAGCACAGCATTGTTGCAAAGACCAGGCCCTCAGTTTTATGGGAAGTATGACCACTACAGTATTTATATGTTTGCCCTACTAGGTAACGCACAAAATAAAATCCTATCTTTCTCTATGGCAACTTATGATCATAAAAGTCTTAAACATGGTGGTGTTAATAACCCAATCCTCTTCTAAATCTCATATGTGACTTGTATCTCTTTCCTCACTCTTTC